ACCTTACCTATATATATATATATATATATATATATAGATAGATAAACTTTTAAGCATATATACTTCTCACCTTCATGCAACTGTGTAAAATATAAAGAATATGTTAAAAATAAGATGGGCAAAATACCCCGTAAATTCTAAGGGCATTTGGGTTATTTGAATTGTTTTTTATATTTCATTTAAATAGGCCTAAATGAGGAGTGAACACTCTCCAAATTTTATCTTGATCTAATATTGGGTAAATTAAAAAATAAATAAATGTAAGGCAACATTTTCGAGATGACCAAATAATCCACATTGTGTTTCACCTAAAAGCTATTAATCTAAGCAGTCTTATCATGATCGGAAGGTTGAAAGGCATTTAAATCTTATATTCCTGGTATACATGGAAATGCGTTGAAATTTAGGGTGTCCATTATTCTAGTCCTCGCAGACTTATAAAAAATATAAAAAATATTTTTTAAAAATAAAATAACTCAAGTACTCATTAAACTTTGAAAGATATTTTGTTCAATTTATTTTGATAAATTTTTTTTTTTTATAGATAAACCCCAATAAGGTGCATAAACCCTCCAAAATCATTTAAATTTGAGCTTTCAAAAAAAATAAAAATAAAAAATTTTAGATAACAAACATTAAATGACCCATCAACCAAAAGGGAAGACGGGCAACCTCTTTGAAGTTTTCCTCTTTTAGGGGGAGCTCACTATCATTATTTTTAAGGAGTACAAGTAGCCAACTCGTCTCTTCTCTCACAGCAGTTATGATGAGTGTAGGAAAAATCGAGATGTTCAAATTCTAACCGCTCGCTTAGACCCGGTTGGATCGGAATCACCTATTGGCTGGCTCCGATTTCGGTAGGTTTTGGTGAACCAGATGAGTGTTTTGAAAAAAAATTATATAAATATAAAAAACTAAGGGATTTTGTTTGTAATACATATTTTAAAAAAATTTGGCCATTAATGGTTATTTCTACATCTTCTCATCTTTTTTTATTTTTTTATAAAAAAATACCCCTTGGTACAAATCAATACTTTAAAATGCCTTTTTTCATTAATTTTCAATTTCATTTGGATCTACTTTGTCTACTCATGCTTTAAATATATTTTTTATATTTTATTATATTCAAAAAAAATTGTAACACTTTTTTAACCCCTCGGGACTTACCTGATTGAACCGACTGATTTACCGGTTAGGCCCGTTGTACCGCTTCCGGCCCCAATGC